ATATTATATATAGATATATATAGCTATATACAAATCCGATTACAACAGTGTTGGACAGTGGGACTAGCTACAAGAATTGCATTGGCCTTTCACTTACCCGCTATAAGTCCAAGTCCTACAGGACCGTCGCCGGAGCGCCTAGGCCCGCTCTGGCCGCCACTATTGCCGGGTGGCAGATTCTCGTCGAACAAGTCGCACATGCGAAAATCTGTTGCATGCTCCACCAGCAGCTCCACTATGTCCCCGGTGCGATCCATGATGGAGCAGACCTCCTCAAAGCTGCGATCAATTAGCGACATACCATTCCACTCGAGTATCTGTTGCATGCCATAAAACATAAAAGAAACACACATAAATCATCCTTTCAGCTATCGTTTGTCAGCATGAGTTTGCCCTAAGTGCAACTGCTGACAGTTGGCAGTTGGGAAATTTATGAATTTCCATCACACAGTTGCCCTTTCGGTCGAAGGCCTCTTGTCAAATTTGCTTATCGGTCGCTTAACATCGTGACAGCTGTCTATCTACTCAAATTTTCCCAAATGTTCTGGGCATTTGCTCAAAAAATTTGACATCATCTTTTGCCTTGTCCTCGAAATTCATTAATTATGTGAAGTTCAGTTGGAATGCGATTTTCGGGAGCCAACTCACCTTGTCGCCCTGCTGTAGGCCATTCTTCTCGGCCGGCCCGCCCGGCACCGTCCAGACAATGTAGGCAAATAGCCGCCCATCAGCTCCGGTCTTGCCACCGACGACGCGCATCCCAAAGCCTCGAGCTGCGAAGATAGAGAGCAGCAAAATTTAATAAGAAAATATGCTGACTGATTATGGGTGGCAAAAACAAAGGCACCAAAATAAGACTAAAATCAATATTAAATCTAAGAGTCCACACAGACGTAGCACGTAGCAACAAATTTGGGGCATGTGGCAAGCAATTTGTGTTGATTTCGTTTGCAGTTTGCACTGCTTGTCCAACACCCATGAGTACATTGCGTATACGCCTCGTCTGTTTGCGTGTTTGTCTGACACCCATGAGCACATTGCGTATATGCCATAGACAAAAGCACTCGAATCGGCAAACAGTTCGACTATTTACTTTTCTAGCTGACTGTCGGTCTATATGTCTGTCTGTCTGTCGGTGCGTCTGTGTCTGTGTCTGCCTGCCTCTGCACAAGTTTTGTGCTTAGTCGACTTATATTAGAAAGAGATGCTTAGTCTCAATACTATGCTTGATCCAGAGACTGATGCATGTTGGACTAACGTATAGCGAGCTGGGTTCGACTGCGTTTTATATCTGTCTGACAAACTGGAAACGAAAATTGTTTTTAGTTTTGCTTTGTGTGCCCTAAGCACACACTTTCATGGCGAAACAGCTCGTCGGGAAAAGCAGCTAGCACTGGCATCGCCACCTGTACGAATTTAGCTTGAAAATAATCATTTTCTAGTCAGCAGCTGCACTCTTCAGATTTCACAGCACGAATCCAAACGATTTAATTAATTTAATTGCAATTCCAGTTTGCTGCTGGCCGGGCACGCAGCAAGTGTGCAGCTCAGTTTCAAGTACTTATCATTGGGCGCAGAAAACTAATTTCAACAATTTGTGCACGAAAACTTACGAAAGCGGATTTCCGCCGCCCAGGCCCCGCGGCGCTGCCCTCTAACCAAGCAGCGCACAGCCCGTGGCCAGACAGTTGAACGCTTGCTGCAGACAATTGCCAAGAAAGTTAACTAGCGACTTGCTGAGAGCCAAAGAAATCTGAACGGGGCGGAAGGCGGTTTGTGGGGCAGCGGAGACATTGACAATGAATTTTAGTTCGTCCAAGGTTTTTAGTGACATTTTTGCTCTTGCACTTGTGTGTGTGTGTGTGTGTGTGTGTGCCTCTGTGTGTGCGTCTGTGGATTTCCAGCAGAATTATTCAGAGCAGGTGGCTCGCTTTTGGAAAAGTTTTCGTGCAGGAAATGCCAACAAAGTGCCGTCGCGCACCCTTAGAAGTATGCAATAAAATGTTGCGCATACGCCTCGTTGATGCTGCTGCTGCCTCTCTTGATTTGGGGCACATTGATACCCAATTAGGATAACGCGACATTTTCTCTTTGAGTGTTTTAATCAAAAGTTTTCTTTGCCTCACTTTCGTTCTTTTCGCATTCCACATTTCTCATTCTTCGGTCTCCCCTCTTCGTTAGGTCACTAAACACGGTCATAAAAACGAAATAAATAAAGCTCAAATCCTTTGCTGTCAGCGCTGTTCTGTTCCACTGACAGCACAAAAGCGAACACCGAAAAGGATGTCAAATTGCGCAGATTATTCATGAGCTGACCGGGCTGATATAAATGTACTCCATGACTGAGCAGTTTTAAGAGACGCGATTTGTTGCTGCCATTTAGAAATCATTTCAAGTGATTTATTGGCGAGCGTGAAGCATAATTGCTAGTAGGGTATCTATTAGTCGCACATACTCGGCCATTGTGACAGCTGTAAGCTATCCCTGGGCCGCACTTAACATGCACGAAATGTGCGTGCTGAGTGAATTCTCGATCTATTTTGCACAGCCTGGCATCAGTTGTGGCCATAAACGGCGTGGCATTAAAATCATGAGGCGACCCCGGAATGGCCAAGGAGCTGAGCTGAGCTGAACTGAGCTGAGCTGGGTTGAGGATGGGTTGCAGGAGCCTTACTCGCAGACGCGCTGCTTGCTACGGCTATTTTGATATCCTTTGTCTCGTTGTTTGTCCCGCTGCTGCTGCTGCTTCTCCTGCTCCTGTTTCTCCCGATGCTTCGTGTGTATGTGTCATTCATCTACGTTTTATGATACAATTTGTTGATCTTTTATTTTTATTTTCCTTTTTGTTTTCGTATTTTTATGTGGGTAGCATTAGGATTTTAATAAGCCAAACATTGAGCATTGCTGCTGGTAGCTATGGGCTTGTTTATGCCCGGCATTCACCAACTTTTTATTGTTGGGTCGCCCGCACAGTCCCCGCAGCCCCCGCAGCCGTCTCCTTTTGCCTTTCGCCCGTCGAGGTCACAAACTAATTTCGTACACGCTTAAAAAGTGATCTATGTGCGGTGGCAGTCGTCGTTGTTGCTGCTTTCAACTCAACCTGTTTGAAATTGGTTGCTGGAAACTTTGAAGCGTGTGTCCTGGCAATTGCTTGCCTGGCCGTCCTGAGTCCTGCATTTAATGTCATTAGCTGTGCAAACTTTTAGTTGCCTGGGCAAAGGACTTAATCGATGCACACCCACCCACCCACACACACACACACACTCACTCGCACGCACACACCCATAGGTGCAGCTGTGGCCCGGGCATGACTAAGCGTTTTAGTGGCTCCTATCAGCAGCCATAAAAATTGATTCTTAATTAAACTAGCACAAGCGCTGAGATGGCGCTGCAAGACAAACATTGGCCCGGTTAATAACTTGAAGACAAAACTAATAAACAAGTGCGGCGCACGTGTGCAGCCAAGTGCCGCTTTGGAGCACCTGGAACAGTTGAAACACCTGAAAGAGCTACACGACAGCCAATTGCTCGTTTATGTCAACAGCTGAAAGACGAATGGCGGCTACGGGGGTCGCTCTTAAGTAAGCCATGGCTGGAAAAGCCCAGTGCTTAAGAGCACTAAAACTATGAATGACAGCCTCGACTGCAAGCCAGGCCGAGACGAGTCCCCACTCTGGCTACCTGTTGCCCCCAAAAAACACACAGACCGAAACGAGGCAATCGCACGCAAAGCTTCAAGCCGACTCACTAAATTTTCTGTGTGTGTGCGTGTGAATGTGTATGGGTGTTTAGGTTTTACGTGATTCGCTGTAATAAATGCGTAGCTCATGAGGCTGCATAAAATTTCATTAGCCGTGTTAAGACGCCATTCTAACGCCCACTGGCGTCACATATTGCTTATGTGTGTGTGTGTGTGTGTATGTGTATGCTTGTGTATGCTTGTGTATCTATGTGTGTGGCAGTAAAATACTTTAACGAGCTGCATAATTGAAATCGCATTTGGCCATTTACAATTACATTACATTACATTCGCCATCGATTGCGTCTGTAGCACTGCACTTGATGTGATATGATGTGATGTGATGTGATGTGCTCTTCAGATTAATTAGTCGCCCATCCATTAGCAGCTAATTGCGCAACAGCGCACTCAAATGTGCAGAGCTACTTTAAAGCGGATATGACACTCGTCTATCGCAGCGCGTGCACAGTCAATATATATACATATCTCTCTCTCTCTCTCTCTCTTTCTGAAGGCAAATTGCAGCACAAGGCGGCAGCACCTGCCACAGGCATCCGACACAGCCAAAGGAATCGAGTGCGCTGTGCGTGTGCTTGCGGTTAAGCCAAGTATCTAAAGGATATGGTATATAGATATATATATAGCCTACATACACGTGTGTGTGTGTGTGTGTAAGCATGACAGCCACAACAAATGCCAGCAGTGGCGCGACAGCGCCTGGCAAGAAAATGGTTTAGCACATTAAAATTCCACTTGCTTCGTTGCATATCAAATATGCCGGGTAAGCAGCCAGGCAGCCAGGCAGGCAGTCAGCCAACAAGCCAAGCAGCCAGGAGAGCATGCCTAACTCTTGATATGAGCATGCACACACCTACACACACGCAGCCACACACACACCCACACAAATACATTTTTATCATTGCAGGCTGCGCTTATGCGTTTTTGTTGGATATTGACATTTTTTTACGATATGTAAATTGAAATTTTACCTTATAGATATACCCCATATATGTATATAAATATATTTATATGTATTTGAAAACAAGCCAGGTGCGCGTAGCCTGGCAGCTGGCAGACAGGTAGCGGCTAGTTATTTGATTGAAATTATGTGCGCTCGTGAGCAAAGGCCTGACTGTCAAACACTTTAAGCCAATTAGGCTTACTTTTCATTTGACTAATTTACCATGCTCCACTCGCAGGCAGCCAGCGTGCCTTAAAGTGAGAGGCAATCGCTTGGCTAGTTAAATAAATATGCCATGCTAGCTTCTATATATATATTTACAGTTTTATATGTATGCTGTTGAGTTGAGCTTCAATTATGTGCGACTAACTGACAAATCGATTTTCCATTCGCCTTCGGCCATATTCGCATAAGCTTTCTACTCCAACTTCTCAGCTTCTTTTGCCTGTATTTTTTTTTTATTATTAATATTTCTGCCTTCTTCTCGGCAAGTTTTTATATTTATAATGGCATTGCTGCAACTTTTCATGCTGCCATCGCATTTTTTGCCAGCCATTAGCTCATTTTAAAGGCGTCAACTAAAAGGCAGAGTTTACTTTTGTAGAGCTTAAGCTGAACCAACTCGTGCAACTGCTAATCAAGCAAACGTTTTAGATGAAACTCGCTGCATTCTAAAAGTTGTTCACTGCTCATTAAGCTTTTAATAGTTTTTATTTTATAGCCGTTCGCCGTGCCGTTCGAATGCAATATCTTTGAGTTCTAATGCGCGAGCACGTTTTTTTCTATTGATTTTTTACTCAGCTGATAATTAAAAATTCATTTGCACGGTCATTTCATGCGCATCGTTTGTCGCTGCCGTCCGCTCCGAGGAATGCAGCAAAAAATGTGCATATAATTAAAATACAGAGGCAGAGGAAGAGGCACACACACACACACACACACACACAGAGGCACAGAGACAGGCAGAGGCTCACACGCGGCACAAATGATGCCATTGGCAATGTGAGCTGACTCTCGTTATACTATATGTCAGTGGGTGGGCGGGTGTCTATAAATATGTATACTATCGGAAGCTCTGCAGCTCTGGCTGAGCCAGAGCCATCTTATGGCTGGGTCGATTATGGCAGCAGCAGTGCCAGCAGTCCTGCATGTCGATAAAGAATGCTCTCGGTTTGCTTAATCTGCTACCCGTTGGCTTCCGCTTTGGGTTTCATTAGAGTCCACAGCAGACTCCAGACTCACACACTCGTTATTCTTCATGGACAGCGCGTTGTTTGGGGATTAAAAGAGAGCCGAGAGCGGACAGGAAATGTTGGCGGTACGGTCGAGACCCTTTGGTTAGTCCCCGGTCGGCTGGTTGGTCTGTTGGTCGGTTGGCTGCACTGTCGAATTAGCATAACCAAACGTTGTAATGAGTCTTATTTACTTGGCCATTTCCGGTGTGGCCGGGACCCAGCGCTCTCTTGTCAAATCGAAAATTTGTTAAGCACACACAGAAGCACAGTCCACGCCCACACACACACACACACACCCACATGCACACACATACACGGTCACACATTGAGCTGATTGTACGTTGTGTGCTGTGGACTGTTCACAAAGCTTTACTTACTGCGATGTGCTTTGTCCGTGGGGTCTCGGCGCAGGACAATGCGACGCTTGGATGCGCATATCGGACCGGAATCAACATCGTGTATGACAATGCGTATGGCCTCGCCATCCATGGACGTTTGCCTTCGTGGCGCCTCCAAATCCTCCAAATTGGGCCCCGTAAAAGAGGCCATCGGTGGCGGTATTGCCGCCTGCAAGCCCGCCGGCAATGCGCCGCGATTCTGCAGGGCCGCTATATCCGGTCTGCAACGGAACAGCGGGACAACGGAATCATGCTTTTAGTACCAGCTGAGCCGTGGGGCTGATGTCAACTTACAGCTGTGAGCCGCGTCGTCGCATGCGTCGATCGTCGTCCACCGTCAGCACGGGGCTGCCCTTGTCCGGCGAGCTGGGCGAGTCATCGTTCTGCAGGTCCTCGGAGGGGTGCGGCATTCGGAACGAGGGGCGCCGCGAGCCGGGCAGCTGAACGGGCGGCATAATGCCACCGCCGCCATCACACGGCGAGCGCTGCAGCTGCGTGGCACCTGCCGCCGCGCCCTGCATCACACCTGGCGCAAACACATCGTAGGCCGATTTCCTGTGGGCAAGTGAGAGTTAATCGTGGAACTTTTGTTCTTTGAATACCTTGCATCTACCTGCGCGGCATGGCTGGCAGACCCAGGCCAGCGCCGTCGGCGCCCATGCCCAATGCGGGCCCGCCTCCGCCCATGCTGCCTCCCACGCCGCCTGCCTTCATGTCGTCGTCATAGCTGTGCTGGCGCGAGACCCGAGAGCCGCGCCGCGACTGCATCCGCGAGAGCGGCGCACCGAATGCGGGCTCCAGTTCGCCACCGCGCGGCGGGCTGTTCGAGCGACTGGGCGCCATGCTGCGACCGCCTTTCAGCTGCTGGAAGTACATGAATTATAGTGAGACAAAGAGATTAACTGTGCTGGGATTAACTTACGCGCTCCAGCTCCTTCAGCGATGCAGGTGAGACGTCTGAATGGCGTCGCAGCTCTGGACTGCGCGGCGGTGCCAGGGCAGCTCCATTGCTGGGCGCCAGCGTCTGTGTGCTGCTGCCCAGCTTGGCGTCCGAGTGCCGGCGCTGCAGTGCCTCCAGCACGGGCACATCCAGTGTGGAGTCCGTCGAGTCCTGCGGTATACAGACGCGCGAGGCCATCTTGCGCCGGCAAACGCTGCAGCGCCACATGTTCTGCAAAACGGGCCAATTACGTGAGAGAAAATCAGTGCAAGAATGGAAGGAAGGAAGGAAGCGGGCGACACGCGTGCACCTAATTAAATTTCATGGCTAAGCGCTGAGTTCTATTTGTGGCTGCTCGAAACAGCGGGATAATATTTATTAGTTTGCTAAAGTTGAAGAAAACCACGTTATGTTGCTCTGCGATGGCTGCTGTGGCTGCCGCTCCTGCTGCTGCTGTTGCTGCTGTTGCTGCTGCTGTTATTGCTGTTGTTTCAGAGCCTGGTTGAAAATAAATATTAATTACTTTCTGAACAAAAGTTGCAACGGTTGCTACCTTGCGAAAAAAGAAACCATCTATTTCTGTGCACGTGCTCGTGGGCGGGCGCGAAAGTGGTAGCGGGAGAGGGGGGTAGTGTGAAGCAGTTGCCATGTCCTCAATTACGAGCGGGCGCACATCCGTGCCCACCACGCCCACGTCGTCCACCACACACAGCGCTCGCTAAGCCCGAACAATGGCCGCTACATTTCCACCTGGTCGTTGATTCATTTTACCCGGCGGAAGGGTCGTATGTGTGAATGCAGCACCGGAAGTTGGCGCCATTTTAATTAAGTTGCAGCAGAGCGTACGTTCTCTATATATATGTATATGTGTGTGTGTGTGTGTGCATCAAGTGCGTCTATAATCATGGATGGTGCTGTATTGTCCTCCGGCTGCACCCCGCTCCAGCCACAGAGTCACATCCAATGCCAAAGCTGCGCTTTCGCTTTTATTGCTTTTGTTTCCCCCAGTTGGGTGCGTTATAATTACAGCTGCTGCAGCTGTATAACTGTTCGTGATCCCAGTGAGAAATCAACTGCGACTGTTGTTCTAAGGCTTGCCGCACACGCACACACACAGAAGCAAAGCACTTCAATTCAATTGCAGTTTGTTAAGCACTAATTTTATATGCATAAACAGGAAATCGATTGTAGTGGCTGCATGTGCTTAAGAGCCACAGAGAACAGCACAACAAAGCTTGAATATTGACTTATTCAATACGAGATTAGAGCGTCAAGGATGCTGAGCAGTAGCAAGTGGTCCTTGCTGGGATATTTACAGTGGAAAATGGTAAACAAGATTTTTAGATTAAGCGGAATGCTTGTCACAATTTGCATTTGCATATATTGGCAATTATTTGACTGGAATGCCTCTTCTGAATATCCAGATACACAGCACACAGAACTATGAGGATAATGATGATAATATATCTATAATTATGTGAAATATCACAATAGGCACATTTCATTCGATACGAAACGAGCAGTATTAATTTCATGCGGCGCCCCTATGGGTATGCAATGCTATCTGAATTCAGTGAGCATATCATCATCCAGTGCTGCCCCCTGCCTGAAATGGCCAGCCCTGATGACAGCGGCTGGGACCGCAGTGTGGTCAAGCCAACAGCTGGCTGGAACGTCGCATGCGTTCATTGTGCAGACGTGGGCCATAATTACGCTCCTGTGGTCATAACTACATATGCACGCATGTGTGTGTGTGTGTGTTTGTAAATGTAGCTGAGTAACAGCTCGTGTGTGTGTGTGCGTGTCTCTGTGTGTGTGTGTCTCTGTGTGTTAGTAACCGCCCACAAACATCAATTTCAATTAACCAAAGTGGCCAGTTGACGGACAAACGTTAAATTTTATGCGCTGGGCGTAGCCGGGCACTTCAGAGCTATGTGTATACATATACATATGTCGACGGCCTGTTGAAAGCCGCCAAATTATCAGAAACTCAAGATAAATGCTGCAGTCCCGTTGCCATTGCCGTTGCTGATTCAACAGATATGCGACTCTCTGTAGATGTCTCGTCAACTTGTTATTGTTGGCCTGTCAATGGACATGATGTGTGGCATTGATATATGTGAACTGGCTCTGATTGAACAGTTCGAGCATGGCAGGCGGCGGGCTGGTTAGTTGTGGGCGTGGCCGCACCACTGGGCAGGCAACAGGCCAGTTGCAAGTGCGGCCAGTGCCGGCAGCTGTCGACTAATCTCGTTAATCTGGCTTTTATCTTGTAAATGCCACGAGGCGGAGCGAAGGCAACGACGGACTGTTGATGGTGGTGCTGGTGGTGTTGGTGGAGCGACCCTGACTGTAATCTAATTTGTGTGCAGGCAGCGGTTAATGTATGCCAATGCCACGCCTTTGTTGGCACGCCCTCGCAATCATTGTCACAGCCAGCAGCGCTTTAGTTTTTGCTATGGCAAACGGGAGCTCCAGCGAGGCACTCACACAGACACACACACACATATACACAAACTCAAAGAGCTATTGTTTTTCTTATTAATTAAGCGCCGCGGGATAATGTGTTTATTTTCGCCACGCCCACCAATGGACATTGCCTAGTGGCATGGAAACGTGTTGTTCATGTTTGCGCTGCAGTTGTCCACAGCTCCACCTCGATGGCTGGCAACAACAACTACAACAACAACAGTAACAATCAACACTTACCGCATCCTCGTGCTCATCCAGCTTGCTGTAGCTGGCGCAATCCTCGCACACGCGCTGCTGGCACTCGAAGCACGTCTTGTGGTAGTCGTCCGGCTTGAAGGACTTGAGGCACACCCGACACGCGCCCGCTCGGCGTCCGGGCTCCTGTTTGGCCGCGGCGCCACCACCGCCGCCACCCGTGCTGTTATTGTTGTTGTTCAGATTGCTGCTGGCCTCCTGCTGCTGCTGTTGTTGCTGCTGCTGCTGCTGATGCTGCTGCTGATAGCTGGGTGAGCCGTAGATGCCGCTGGTGTCCGTATCCGTTGGCACCAGCGACGGGCGTGGCGACATTTTATTAACTGCAACGGAAAAAAAAAGAAAAAACAACAAAAAAATTAAAGCTCAATGAAAGAACCACAAATGCAGTCAAGTCTCGCCCTCGTCCTCCCCTGGGCGTGGTCAGCGCCCTAGTAATTGACTTGTTGCTGGGCAAAATGTGACCTGATTTCATAATTAATTCATTTGCAAATTGCTAACGTGACAGCCGACAATGACGCCGACGACGCCGACGACGCCGACGACGCCGACGACGACGGCGACGACGACGGCGACGACGACGGCGACGGCGATAAATAATATAAATGACTGCGATTAGCGATAGTCAAAACGGAAATTGCCGACAACGCAGCGACAAGTGGGCGTGTCGCCGAATCGTCAATTAGCTAGGCCACACAATGTCGAACGTCGGAAGCGAAAGCAGCTCAAAGTGAACCCACTGAAGGAATGATTAATATAAGCAGAAATGTGAGTTTAGCTGAAAACATTATATATTTATCATATTAATATTAAATATAATTTTGCAGAATTCTTTTTTTAAAGGTTTCGAAAGGTTGGGATGGAAAAGGTTGCTCTTGCATTAGTTACAGTCGAAAGGTAAGCACAGAGATGGTTTTCTTTTGCACATTGCGTATACGCACAGTTGCACGTGTAACAATTTCTTTCTTTTTTACCTGCGGCACGTAAGCATGACATTGAAATGGAACTAGTGAAACAATGCTGGGCAGCAAGGCAAAATGAACATTTTCAAGTACACTTTACATTATTAAATTGCGTATCGGCAGGCTGAAGTGCTGCCAGCATATGTAGCTATTTGAAATAGTTTTTTTGAGTGCAGCTGGAGTGCTGGTCAGTTCGCTAATAAAATGTTGCTAACAAGTGCACATTAAGTACGCTCAATTATGTGGCGGTTCGAGGTCAAAAATATTTACACAAATTATGCACACAAATAGCAGGAGGAGCAGCAGCCCAAGTACTTGACACTGTGGATTTGTCTCGTGGGGAGACTCGGTGAGCCGCTGCCCAGTGGAGCAGAGTTGGTTAAATAAACATCATAAAATAACATTTCATTTCGATCTAATAAATCTGCTGTGGCCGCAATAAAAGCCAGAAGCCATCGCACAGTCAACTAAAATGCAATAAAAGCAAGAATAAACTGTTTCATTTTATTTTCATTTTCATTTTCATTTTTTCCCCCACWCGTATTGACGAAACACAAATACTCTGCCGCAGAACAAACAGAAAATGTGATAATCGCATCTTAGCCACACTCAATTGGCGTGTGATTGCGAGAGGGAAAATATATATGCTGTACGAGTTTATATACGATTATCGAATGGGTCTCAGCCTCTTCAGAGCGTCTCATATTTCGTGACATCGACTGAGCATCCGCCGCAGCAAGGGTATATTGACACAAAAGTCAACATGCTGCCATGTGCGGTTGCTGTTGCTGCTGCTGCTAGACGTTTATTGACATTGGATTTGTGCTGTGGACACTAGTAAAAAAAAGTAATACAGTACAACTCTCGTTGTTTATGTCTGTCATAACAATGACTATGATAATGGCAATGCCAATGCCAATGCCAATGACTGCTTAATGCACTTGACTGTTGCGACGCCGACGGCGACCCTTGCATAATTCAATTTGCACAGCGAGCGCATAAAGATTCGTTCAGATTAAGCGCCGTGAGCTAATAGGAAAAACTCAGCGCAGCGAGGCAGGCAGGGGGCGTGGTTGTTGTTTTGGGGTTGTGCTAGCTTAGCGCATCTCCTGTTTCGGCTCATTGTTAAAAGTTGCGTGCACTCTGAGCGCTTACTTAGCTTTGGCCTTTTGTCTGCGCTCACGCTGCGTATACGTTGTATTTTTGCAGGCAACCGTCAGCTGGCGCTTGGCCCTGCAAGGGCAAAGTTTTGTGCAAAGTTGAGCGAGCAGCTTTATGAGCACTTGAATAAAAATTCATGCCATAAATTCGCATGCACTTATGGACCCGAATGCCAATGCCCCAAACCTCAATCACAAACTTGGCTGAACTCACCTTTATCTGTCACGGTTAGCAGCGACGAGGAGAGCGTTGCCTTCATTTTGTTCAAGGCGCCCGTGTTCGAGGCGCCGCCGCCCGAATCTGTTGCATGCGTATGCCCCTGGTTCGCCTGCTCGTCGGTGGCCACCATCTGTGCGAGAGAGAAAAGAGAAGAATCGAATGTGGATGAGAGTTATAAATATTAATGGCATATTGAGCTTAAAGTTTCATTTGCGGCAGCTACAAAACATTTATAGGTGGGCATTGAGTCTTTAGAGTTTCAAATGCGATTTCTGCTTGTTGAAATTGAATTGAAACTGAATTCCGGAACGGCTTTATGGCCGTTTTCTTAACGGCACGCCAGCTGTTGCTCGGCTCTGGCAATGTATTTGTTAATTTTATTTGAATTTTCTTTTCACTTTTCATGCTGCTGCCTGCTGCCTCCTGCTCCTCTGCCTCTGCGCATATTTTTATAACGTCTTGCCAGCTCATGCTCATTTCGAGCATCGTCATTGTGCGAAGCACCGAAAACGCACGCAGGTGAAAAGAACGCGTTGCGTTTTATTTGATTTTGGGATTTTTTTCTTTTTTTTTTTTTAGGGCTTTGTTTCTCTCTTTGTTACCTGCTGCTGGACCGGCTGCGGCTCAGGCGCAACAAATTGCCAAGAAATCGTAAAATGCGGCAAGCAATTTTTGTTTAAACTACGAAAAGTGCGCCCAGGCGAGCGGCTTTCAAAAATTGCCGTCATTCTTTTTAATGCACACACACACACACACACACACACATACATACAGCCATACAGTAAACAGAGTGCGACAGAGACAGAGAGACAAAGGCAGAGTAACACTAAAATTGACAACAACAACAACAATGGCTGACTGGCTGGCATGCTGACTGGTAAAGCGACCAACTGAGCTGCCCCTCCACCCCACTCCACTCCGCTGTAACATAAGTGCTCTGCGTTGTCAGCATTTTATGAAGTGGAAATTTTCTATTTGCCAAAGCGATGGCGGCGTCGAAACCGGAACAAACAGCCGCCTATGTTGGGCTATATACAAACCATCCCATACACACACATACTCATACACTATCTCCCTCCCTGTCTCGCTCACTGAGACTAGACGCAAATTACGCTAAGTGCTTTTGGCTGCATCGTTTTTGGTTGCCTACCTTTCGGCGGGGCAGCACTCGCCGCTGTCCTCATGCTCAAACTAAGCGCTGCCTAGTGTCAGATTATGGTCGCTTTGTGCTCAGCTTGCGCTACATATTTGATGATGTCATTTCGAAGCCGGCCTCAAGGTAATATTCATGTTGCTGCGGATTTATGTATATGTTTTCAGCAGACTAGCAGCTAGCTGCAAACTATATGTAAGTATCTTTGGCCAGGCGCTACGCCTTTGCTCTGGCACGCCTCTTAATTTATGTGCGGGTGAACTGTGGCGGTGCCTTGAGCTGGTGCTTAGCACGTGTAATTATTGCCGTGTTAATTTCGTCATTTATTATGAGCTCTCTTCTTTTTTTCTTGTGCCCTGTCTCGAGCTAGTTTCTTATTTAGTGCCAAAAATTATGGGCTGCCACACAGACATTTAAGAGCTGCTGATGCTGATGCTGATGCTGATGCTGCTGCTGCTGCTGCTGCTGCTGCTGCGGCCAAGGACCGCCGTAAGCCACACAAAGCCATATGTACGTCCTTTATGGCCGTAAAGTACGCTACATAAAATGCAAGTCAATATGTAATAAGAGCAGCGCGAGAGACGGGGCTGGCGCAGCATCAGCAGCTTTTCGCGTTGTGATTGAAAGCGCACGAATTGCAGCTGACTGAACATGAAAATCAATAAAAAGCATAACATAGCAGCCATTCACAACGACTCTGCCATACGCTAACAAATTGAGCCTGATTTACAACAGCGAAGGCTGTCAGGCTGATTGGCATTACGCTCACATAAATAAGCATGTTTCCATGGATGAATATGCTAATGCATGGCATGCTTTTGGGGCATGCCAGCATGAAGGTAAAATAAATAACAGAGCCAAATTGTAAACATCAGAGCGGTTCACTAATGTGCTTATGTCTATGTATATGTGTGTGTGTATGTGTGTGTGTGCGTGCTTGTTGCAGCGAAAGGCCACAAACAACTGTCAGCCGCAAGATGCAGGCAGCTAGTTACATTATGGTCTGGCATGCTGTGTGTGTATGTGTGTGTGTGTGTAAAGTTCAGGAAAACTATTAAGAAAATTACAGCACATAATTTACAACAGACGCTTGCTTGCTTGTATTTAAGCTTCTTTTACTCTTTTAATCTCTTTTCAGCTCCAGCTCCTTTTTCTCTCCCTCCCTCTCTGTCTCTCTCTACACCACAATTACGCCCCGCTGATTGCCTTTGAAGTGTGTTTGCTGCTTTTTTTTAAAGCTTCTTTCCTGATCCTGCACAAAAAATTGTGTGCGAATTTTGCTGGGCATTTAAATGGGTAAACAAATAGCTGAAGTTGGGGCAATCCTTTCACTCTGGCTCTCTGCTTGTTTTGACAGGATGTGCTGACAGTGAGATTGCTTAACTGTCACCAGCACATCATATTTTCTTGAGTCGGGTGGTTTTTGGGCTTTGATTTTGTGCTTCATTTGGTCTAATCAAAGTTTTAGATGGCCGGCCACCTAAAGAAACATTTTTCCAAGCGCAACCAGGCAACTTCGCTTGACATTCGCTTGTTTCAGTTTACTTTTACTTAAAATTTTTTTGTTTTTGCTTTTTGCTCCTTTGCTGCTTTTCTTAAAAGTTTTCCCAGGAATTTGGGGCTAAATTATTTTGAATGGAATTTACACTTTTATTTTGGTTCAGTTTCTTGGCTTTTTTCCCTTTCTCTCGTTGCTCTCTCCTGCTTTCATCCTCGCCTTGGCATAACCTTTCTGTGTGTGTGTTTGCGTAGTATTATTGTTAGCCGAGCTTATGTCTAATTTTATTCCTTAGAAATGGGAAACGCCACACCCGACGGCAGGTGTTTGGCCAGAATTGAATCGCTTTGATTGCAGCCCCTTTTATTTTTTTACTTTATTCATGTATTTTTGATATTTTTCAGCTCGTCCTCTAGGTAGCACGCGGCAAAATGGAGTGAAATACGCAGTCAAGCGCTCAAACCATTTACCGGACTTTTTAATTAAAAAGTTTTGTTTGTATATTGCTTTTATTTGGATTCGACACGTTTCCCTTTCTGCGTCACGATTTAGCACTGTTTGCCATCCTCGATCGCTGTTTGAAAAAAGGCTTAAAATCATTGGCGCTGATATCGCCGATATGCCTTTAAATGTATACAGCCGGGCGGGTCATTTCAATTTCATTCGCAATTCATTTGTTTTTGCTGCATTTCAAACGGAAAACGCTCATTAAACTTTCAGTGCGAATAAAAAAGGAAAGAAGGAAATATAATTAAAAAATCAATACGGCTTGCGAGTATGAAAAAGAAATTAAGGCATAAATTACGTTAGCAACTGTCAATGACAATAACAATGCGGATAACGTGACCAATTGCGCAACGGAGAGCTGTCTTAATGATGGCTTATGGAGGTGAATGAGGGATTTACGGTCGAGTGCTTGAGCGCGGCTGTTTGTTCTCAAAATATTGTTTCTTTGTCAGCGGATCTCTTTATAATTGGCATCATCGTTAAATGGGATTAACCGAAAGGAAAGCAACTGCAAGTGGAAGTTCTCTTTAATTTGCGCTTGCACTTACCTTCTTCATGAACGTCATCACATTTGTGGGCAACATTTTGTCGGAGCTTCGCGTTGCTACTTAAATTGCAATTAATCACGCATACGTCGCGTTGGCCGCTCGTGGTCGTGGCTGCTCCAATTTATGCTGTTGCGGCTTTTGTTTTGTTTCGCTTCGCCTGTGTCCGTCTACGTGTTCGTGTCTGTGTCTGTATCTGTGTGCGTTTCGGTTTCGTTTGTTTTGCACTCTTAAGCGGCTTTAAGTCATTTTTGTTTGGATTGCATTGTTGATGCCGATGCTGTTGCTGCTGTTGCTGCTGTTGCTGTTGCTGCTGTTGCTGTTGCTGCTGCTGTCCATTGTGTGCCCGCTTCAATTTGATTGAATACAAATGGCCATTTGTCATGCGGCATGTAAATAGCCATTGACATTGTATAACGAAATCGTCCTTATAGCATATGCAACACGGTCGCACGAACTACATGTTGCACATCAGCCTCGCGTGATTGATTTGTAGGCTGCGAAGCGCTTACCGTCAGATGGCTAGAAAAGGTTTTTGGGGCCGCTCGCTCGCCTTTAATTAACACCGGGTGCAATTTACAGCGCCTGCAAATGAGTACAAGAAGTGGAAAGGGGTTATAATTAGTCACTGAGTCTAGGCTGGAAAATTGCCGGAGTTGCTATAAGTGCACATCATAGCCAAATCCCCGTTGGGCTTACACCGTACTTAACTTTTTGGACCGCTATAATTTTGCCAGCGATAAGCATCAACAGCGTTTGGGCTGATCCTTCACACACACACGCACACCCTCTCAAACTCACACACACACCCTCACACACTTGACGGGGCGCTGAAAAGTCGATAGGCAAAAGTTTATAAGGCGGAAAATAATGTGTCGCGCTGCATGCAAAGTGCTTCAGGGCTTTGTGAGTTGTGAATTGTGGGCTATGGACTGTGGGCGTGGCAGCGACGCGATAAACTGACCATTATAATGACGGCGGCTATAGCTTACAACTAGGTTAGGCAGTTCGCTTGAAGTTGCGTGCAAAAATAAACTTGCGAACAAAAGCGAAAGCAAAAACGTGAGCAAAAAGAAATTGAAATTGTATATTTTCTTTTGCTAGCTTACAGCTTAAGGAATTTCTTCGAGTACCTTACAAAAAAATCATGCCCGAATATGTAGTATATGTCGCATAGCATTCAGCATCGGCTAGACCTCTCTTGTTTTACTTACTTCTCACCTGGCACTTTGAGAGTCCTCCTACGCATTTGTGTGCTCAAGCCGGCAACTTTAAGTTCTGTCAATTGTTTTGCTTATGTCAGTCATTGTCGTCAGCTGGAGCAAATCCTTCGTGTGCTCGTAAGCTCCACAGAGCCATTCACAACCCTGGTGCTTTGTACAGCTTACGGAGCATTCAGAGCAAAGCTGTTTGCTCTTTCTTTTCTTGCCGGCTCTTAACTAAGAAATAGTTGCCGCACTTAGCAGCAGATAGCAGACAGTTTTCTCCCCCTTGCTATACCCTGTAGAGATTAAATCGACTGGACCTGAACTGCAGAATTGAAGAAAATGAATCTATGCTGTGGAATGCATTGAGTCGCTCAAGCTTCGATCTATTTCTGCTGAATTGATTACAATCTCAGCCATTTGCTTTTCGTATTTCTACCCAGTTACAAAGTATCTGCTGGCCAACTACATTCGTTTGCGGATTTCATTCTGTGCTCTGTGCTCGGGCTTTGGCTTTGGCTTGGCTGCAGCATTATTAAATCAAATGACCCACATAGCAATTGAATCGCTCGATTTGCAGTCAATATACGATCTGTGCGAGCGCTTGCAACATTTGCAATTCCCACATCGAGTGCCTGGCTACAAAAATTAAAGACACTGCTCAACTATTTGGCATGGTCCGAAAGTTTTAGCAACTTTGCGTAAAAAGAAATTGGCAAAAGAAATTTCATTTGAATGCATTGTTCATTGTTGGGTTATTTCTATCGTTTGGGTTGCTTTTGCCATTTGTGTGCACATTACAAAAGTTCATAAAAAGCCATCGAAGCGCAGTTCGGAAAGTTTGCAGCCAACTGGAGGGCAGAGCCAAAGTCAGAGACGAAACTCGGAGATTCGTAGCAAATGGTTTGAGCATGACATGGAAAATGTTTACGCTAAATGAAATTTTTGACTTGCTAAATGAGTTGAATTCGCTCAACTTTATAAATGGCATTCGCAGGGGCAAAAAGAAAAAAGAACTGAGTCAGGAAAATTAGTTGGAGCTCGAAGCTGTCAACATGCCAGCAACAGGATGGAGCTGCTTGCCGCGCCAAAGAGGACGGCCAAGATAAATACAAATCAGGGCACGCTGCAATATGCGAGGCTCGGACGATATTCGTAGGGAGCTGCGCCCCCAGATTGTGTGTATGCAAAGCAAACTGTTACAAGCTGCAAGTGTTGGTTGGTCACGCCCATCCCAAGAGGATGTTTAAGAAGGCGGCGCCTCGTCTGGCTGCGCAGTGCTGCTTACACAAGCTAAGCGCGCCAGGATGTGCTCATAAATTGCAACTTTGGCTGCTGCTGCTGGTGCTGGTTTTACTGTTTGCTGTAGGCAACAAGCATGAAATCACATGAGCACACACACACCCACACACAGACACGCATAGAGGATGTCTGGCAAAGTTCCAGATGGTATGGTTGGCACATAGTTAATTAGCGCGAAATTGGCCAAACCGAGCCAGAGGCAGTTCGGGCCGAAGGCCTCGAGCCCCGCACAGTCAGCGTCATCGTCATCCTCGGCGCCGTCGGGTTTCGTCCTTTGCATGCTAATCGGTAACTGATCAGGATAGCCAATAATGTGAAAGGTCAAAATGTATGTGGCAATAATGCGTGCATTAGGCAAAATCAAACAAGATTTATCACACACGCCAAGCGACGAAGGACACAGGCCCCGAATTGTCACGCACAGGCGAGCCAAATCGAAATTGAAACGTTCGATAAATAAATACAAGCTAACAGGTTTTTTTTCTTTTTGTTGTCGTCACTGTTGCTGCTGCTGTTGTTGTTGTTGTGCGTGCCACACGTCAGTGGAGTGTGGAGAGTGTATTGTAATTCAGAATTCCGGAACGTGCATGGGACACAAATTAACTGTTAAGCAGCATGCCATAATAAATGGCCAGCAAGTCAAGTCCAGATGAAACTGTGTCGCCCCAAATGAAGCATGAAGCGAAACTCAAATGGACCAGGAAAGCACAGCAGCCAGCAGCTCAACTCAACTGGAGACGAACGGCAACAGTAGCTCCTCAAATTGCAGTTGAAAAATCGCAGTGCACTTCATAAATAAAGTGGACGGCGGCAGGGCGCAGGCGAGTCAGGGCGAGGGAGGGGACCACAGCTTCATGAATGCCATGAATGAAGCGCTGTCAACAATGGCAAGCAACTAGTCTGGACTGCGTACAAAATTGAGTTGCCCCCCGAAGCATGAGGCGGCAGAGGGGGGATTGCAAATGCAACTAGTTGCCTGCACTGCTGCGTGGACGCTGTTGAGGTTGTGACTTTGGCCAGCAACGGGATAAGATAAATGTTACATTTGCACCACATCCGGGTCGAGTTTTATGAGCAGTGGCCACGCTCAGCTGGGAGCCAGGAGCTGCTGCTGCGCTGCAGTAAATCAAATAATCTGACAATTGTAAGCTGATCAACTCAAATTAGCCGATAAATAAAATCTTGATTGAAAAGCCAATACGAATTATGACTGTGACTAAACAAACATGAAATTCGTATTGGATTTAACAGTAGTAGAATGATACAACGCATTGAGCAGTGCTGACCTTCGCTATAAAAACACTCTCTAATTCGATTAATTAGACAACTTGTCAGACTGATTTGGGTATCGACTGACTCATTGAAAGCAGTGCGTTACAAGACGAGCCATTTCACATCTTTCAATAGCCTCTTCATGGCTCAAAGGGCAGAGGGCCAAATAGGCCACAATAGAAATCAGTATGATAGAAATGTTATTCTTTTTAGATTGCCTTTTATGCTAATGTCATTAGAGCTTAACGAAAAAAGGTATAGAAAATGCGAAAAGGGAAATACTTGATTCCCAGCCCAACCCAAACCGAAGGGTTACATCGACCCGCAGGCGACTCTTAACAGGGGCTAAATTAAGATTTACAATTTTTGTGAATCTTTTAATAGTAGATATGCGAATTTGTTGGAATAGCTATAATCTGATGAGAGGAAAATCGAACAGAATTCGATTAGCCTCCACTCTAGAAGCTAGATTATGTGAGGTTTTTAGTTAGCTTGATGTGAGCATGTGTAGCTTATATAAGATTGAAGAGCCATAGCAACTAGTGTAATTGCAATCAGCCCTAATGAATACCAGTTCTATAATCAGTTGCACAAGCATAGGTTAAAGCCAATTGCCCAACAGGTGAGGAGGAATAGATAATAACCATCTATTTGCAGTTCATAGCATTAAGCACAACCGCACATATGCGCAGGCCAGAAGCATTGTTGAAGCTTTTACCAAGCACTCGCACTAAACCAAAACACACACACACACACACATCGACAAGCGACATTGCCATTAATGTCTAACAGGATTTTTAATGAGTGGAAAGTGGAGCAAGGTGGGCTGAGGCATTTGGCATTTGCTTTTAGCTAGTGAAGCGTAAGCTCGATTCATTGTCAGCGCCGTTCGTCTAATTGACAGCGGGTGGCTTACATGTCGGCTGCGTGATGCAGGCAGCAGCTGGCAGAGCACGCGGCAGGCAGAAGGCAGCGGGCAGAGGGCTCTCAACTGTGCTTAAATCAACGCACGACTTTAAGCAACTGAAATTAAACATTTAATTGCACAAAGTAAACAACAATGCGATAGCAGCATGATAGCAGCCGAGAGGCTGGGCCTACAGATTGATGTTTGAGTCGCAGCAGCTGGCTGTAGGCATTGGTCATGCGAGGCACGTAGCTGCCATCCAAATGAAATGGAACTACGCCCCCCAAAAGGGTATGATGCGGCACGGGGCGTGGCTGAGCTGTGGCTGCTGTGTTGACAACGACATTTTTAGCCAAGACTGTAGTAAACAGACGTTTGAGCCGACTCTTCTAGGCGGACTAGGATGTGACTTTGTCATTTGCCYAAACTCAAACTCAAACTCAAACTGAAACTCAATTATTCAAATGCCGCTGATGCGAGTGCCTGTAACTGCGTAGGCGTGGCTCATGTGCCGATATCCACAATTTGCTATTTAATCAACATGGCTCATGCTGCTCGAAATCCATTCGCTCTGGGCCACAAGCTCAACTGTTTGCTGCGGTCGGGCCCAACAGTTGTCACTTGTTGTTGCTTTCATCTTAATTGAAATCAAATCAAAGTGATTTCACTCTCAGAATGTAATTGTGTGGCATGCTGCGTGCCTTTGTTCTGCTCTTGTCATACCAATCTCAGCTGCTGTTGCTGTTGCTCCTGCTGCTGCTGTTGCTGCTGTTGCTCGCAATTTATTGGCCCACATTTTTTAGCCGGAATTGTCTGTCGTTCTGCTAATGATTTCCTATTGTTCCTTGTGGTCTATATATTTCCAATTTTACACTAAATTTGCTGGAGCTCTGCTGTTTGGCAGCTGCCATATTGAGACTTGAATTATTTATTCCAAAATGGCATTGGCTGTCGAATGCTCAGGGGAATCACCGACAACTGCGCTCTCAGTGCTTATTAGATCAAGCAGATTACGTCGGGTCCTTAGTGCTTTATTGTGTACTTATAATTTGATGTGCAGCAGCTAGCTGTAAATGCGAGCGGTTAACACGTCCTGCACAGCTGCAGCATTATGCGTCAGTTCAGTTAGCGCACATTACGTATACGCAGCGTTTACGGCTAGGTACACCGAAAAGCACCAAGGACCAATTACGCATACGCAGCGCGCCACATAAAACATTTGAAGTCACGCGTCGCGACACCATAAAACGAAATCAACTGAATATGGGCAATATAAAAAGGCGTGTAGCTCATTTAGGCTGGGGCCAGGATGTGCAGTGCGGTTGGCCATTTGCCTGCATGACGGCACGCAACGAAACCGAAACCAACGGAACTCAGCTGTTGTCCTCAAGGGCAGACCATCCGCCCCAGTCCCCGTTCCCGGACGTGTGGCAAGGCAGCAGTGTATGCGTGGCAGTCAGACATTTGTGATGTTACGCTGCGAGCTTCAATTAGAAGTGCGTGAAATTCCACTGAGGTAAGCGCTGTCGGCTGGCCAGACACTCGCGCGCTGTTCGAGGGGCGCGGCCAAGTGCATAAATTTTGATTTATTTGATTTAATTAAATGTAACTGAAGCCGCATAAATAAATCACGTCTGACCTAGTAAATTAAATCAAACTGCTAAAGAGCCACGACAAAGGCGCGCAAATCCCTAAGTACAGCGGAAAAGGGTTTAATGGCGGCCAAGTGCTGGCTCAAACGCTGGAATTTCAGCGGCGAGAACAAAGTGACCGCAATTAATTAGCCGCAAGGAGATGCAAACTTTGCCGCGTCGGCAATAAAAATAATGATAATGCTTTAAGAAAGAATGGCGCAAAAAGAAGAAGAAGAAAATATCTATACAGCAAGACTCAAACACTTATCAGCAATAAAATGCATTAATTTGCTGGCATAAATGTTTAAAATAAAATAACACGGGTAAATTGTGAATGGGGACGGGCGAATTACGAGTTCATAGTATTGCGCATGAAAAATTCACGTATTTGTATATTTATTGTGGTTTCTCATATGCGAACGGCAGGCGGCGGGTGGCGGGCGGCGGGCGGTGAGTGGCAATGTCAGTGTCAATGTCAATGTCAGTCTCAATGTCAAACTGTCTTCCAACGTAACAAGCTAACAAAGTTGTCAGCCAGCCTGGCATTTGGCTAGCTCAATGGCCGCCTGAACTTTTGCAGCGCAACTAATGCGAATTCAATGTCAAAGGACGACCTTCTGAAATGCCAGCTCGCACGCTTACGGCCAAAGCCAAAGTCAATTAAAAAGATGAGAGACAACTAAATAAATTTCGCATTAATATGCAGCTGGGCTGCTCTATATGCAAATTAAGGACGCTGCAGTTGGGCTGCCTGAATGTGGACTTGATGAAGGGATTGCCTGACAATATTGATGTCAGTTTTACACACATTATTATAGCTATAATATAATTTACATGATTCAAATGGCACTCAATGTGTTTACTATATAATAGATAGTTTAAGTTCTATAATTTCTTATAGTTGAAGTCGACATCAAGCGTCGCGTGTCTTGCTCAACTCACATGACTGTGGTATCCCTCTATCTAGACATCTGTCTATTTTCAAATGCACACACACACACACACACACTCACACACAGCAGCATACACATGCTGGCACATACTTTCACTTGCCTTCAATTCTCATGGTGTGACTTTCTGTCTCCCTGGTGACGGACAAAGTCGCATCCTTGACTGTCTTCCGGCTTTGGCCTCTGTCGTTGTTGTCATTATTGTTATTACAATTTCATTGTTGTTGTTTAAACTGTTTTACTCTGCTTACTTATCGTACACTTTGCAACGCCACATATGTAATGTCTGGCATGTCGTCTGACTGTGCCTCTCTCTCCCACTCATTCTCTCTCGCTCTGCTCGTTGTCTCTTGGTGCAAGTTTTTTTTTTTCGCCACAGCAAATGCTCGAGCGTATAAATTGCATTTTATTTGTGTTACATTTCTTTCAGTGCATACCCTGTAACCAGCACTGATGGGCTCATGCCAACTAGCCCATGGACATGCAACAGTCATGGATATATAATGAAAGCATGCCTAGCGCGCCTTCCAGGGCATGGCCTAGTCAACCACTTATTATCAAGGCTTTGTCACATCTTTTTTATTGTTAGTCATGCAATATTTAACAAGGGCTTGCATTGTTTGCACTATTTATTTGCAATGGGTAAGCGACGACTGTGTGWGTGTGTGTATGTGTGTTTGAAGGTCAAATGCCAAATGCAGCTGCAGCTGCCAGCTGACAGTTTGACAGACACATAAGTCAGCAGACAGTCACTCAGTCAGTCACTCACTCACTCAGTCAGTCAATCAACTAAATACTCATAGGTTTTATTGTGTTGGCCACAGATTTTGACTTGTGCTATTTGCGCACGCATTAACCCTCTAGTCATTGCCTTTAACATTTAACACACATACACACACACACACACACAGACATACACGTTTCATTCTCATTGCCAGCTGCCAGCTTATGTCTGATTAAATCATTAAAAAATATGTAATCCATAGCAGTCCGCATTAAAAATGTAAACAGAACTCGGCAATTATGTGATTTAATTTGATTTCTGTGCGCTGTGCATGCGATTCAGCTAGCTGATTGCCGGATTAGATAAATAGCGAATAGTTTAATATTAATTACGCATTGCACTGAATGTGTAAGTAATGAAATTACGGCCAGAGTTGCCATTGCTTTTGCATTTTCATTCATTCATTTTGATGTGAGGCAACGAACGGAAGGATATATAATATTTTCCGGGGCTATGCTAATTGTGTTGATGCTGCGACGCCATTAAAATCAACATCAATCATCATAATACATAATTTTATTAACAGACATATGGCAGAGAGGGCTGAGAACAGAGTGTGCACAAAATGGATTGCTTTTGATGTTGTTACCCCCGAACGGGGCGTATACGCAATATGGGCAGCCACGCAGCTCCACACATGTTGCGCATATGCCGCATGTGACGCCTTGAAGTGACTTTGGCAAATCATTTTTCTTGTTAATGCATTTAACATGGTTATTAATCAAGCTCACACACACACACACACACACACACACACACACAGACATAAACACATATAGACAGATGGAAATACATTCGATAACATCTACCCACAAACTGAGCGGAGTCGTAGTCATTCTGTTATTGAATCCGGCCATTTGAATGGATCCGGAGGCACTGGCACTGGCACTGGGAGAAGCAATAATTGTTGCGGTTTGCTTTGGCAGCAACCGCATAGATGATGCCATTACTCAACCGCATTTGCCTCGCCAAGCAACTTGCCGACTGTCTTTGGAGCTGGGCTCTTGTGGCTTACTAACAGCACCGTGGCACGCTGGGCATATTCTTCAAGGCTTCGCAAGCTCAACCCAAACTAATCCCAACATTTATAATGCAAGTATACACAGCAAAAAACACACGCACACGCACACGCACACACGCATACATATATAGACAGGTATTACATAAGTAGGTTTAGTATATAATCACTTGTGGAGGCTGGGATTTACGTCATATTCTATATGGGTATATAAAAAGACTGTGCGCACAAATTACCTGTGCGATTTGATTTCATTTCCTTTTTGTGGGAGCTGCGGCCATTATCAAGCTGCTCGATTTGTTTCGTTTATTTGTTGGCCTGATTCGGTTACGGGAATTATATTTGTATCGAGGCCACAGGTCGAGGCACTGCGGAAGAAAGATGTGAATAGAGCTGATTGAGCATGGCCTGAGCACGGCATTCGACAGCTGTCGAGCACAAAGTGCGGCATATAAATGAAATAATAAAGGTGCGATAGAGCATAAATCACTTAAAAACGAATTATTCACTGCCTGCACATCTACAACTTTACTGAAAAATTCTGAAGCACTTCACATTTCACCGTAAACCGCAGACCAAGAGAAAGGGAGACAGAGAGAGGGAGACGAATAGAGAGAGATATGCAAGAATTCAGCAAAATGGAATTTTACTTTAATTGAGCCGAATGCATTAAATGTTTATTGAATGAAATAGTTTTGTGCAAATTGAAATATTTGCAGAAATGCTTTCGCTCGAAAGCTGAGCAGTTGGGCATTCGATAAACATTTTTGACATTCACTCATATAAATGAAATAAAAATTAACTCCACAGCTTAATAAACATTTTCGCATTGCGCATGGCTCAAATATCATTTGCTTTATAAATATTCAATGCGCTTGACACGTCTTTAATTGTATCTAGGCACTAAGGAATTGTGAAAAGAAATTTGAATATGCTTTCTGCTTGGCACAACTTATCAGCATATCAGTCTAAGTGTCTGCTAAGTCCCCCCTCTCGAAAAGTTCGCTCTAAGTCATATTCAACAAGGAAAATATATATTTCCTTCGTGAATTTCTTGGCTGACTGGGAAAAGTTTTAGCGCTGCCTTGGCATTTGCGGCTGTTGTCGTTACTCTCATAATTATCAAAGTTGGACAACTGGGCTGCTCTGAGGGCGGCTCTGGGGCTATTGGGGCTGCGGTCGAGCCCCATTGGGCATAAGCGATGACAATGAAGCGCCCCGCCTCACCCTGCAACAGACAACGGGCTTCGAGTATGCACTTCAATTACTAAGCGAGGACGCYCAGTTTGTATTCAGCAACAGCAACAGCAACTAATGATAGTGTTGGCATAATTTTGAGTCCAGGACATGCTCATAATTGTGCCAACTGCCGTTTGCCAAGTTGTGCGGCAAAAGTTTTTCGGCTGCGCTGCAAAAGTTGATTTAAATTAGTAAATTAGAAAATGCCTAACAGCTGCGCAGAGCGGCCCTAGCCGCAGTGTAAGCCAACTTGACGTTAGCGGAAGTTGTCAATGTCAATAGCAGCAGCAGCAACAACAACATCAACAACAGCAGCATCAACAACAATAATATTATAAACAACAGCAGCAACTTGAGCGTTACGTCCTTGCCAAATTGCACACACAACAACAAGGGCATAAATTACACAAAGCCAATGGAAAGTTTTTGTGCGAAAGTCTGAAGTTTCATCATGCTGATGACTCAAGTCCAAGTCCAAGTCGAAGACCAAATCGCAGTCCGAGTCCATTTTGGACAGCATCAAATTCGCTGAAGCACATGAGTGAGAACTTTGGCCAACATATCTGTCTTAATGTATGCATATCTGGGCCCCAAAATTATGAAGTACTGCCAGACAGTCGGCCTGGCCAGACAAGCCAGCCAACAGAGGCTTCCTGTACGTGCCCACGAGCTAAAGTTGGCTCGGTTGCGAGCCTCGTATCCACTTTGCCGTCGACAAGGGCTTGTTTTTGTTCAATCAACAATAAAGCTATATGGCTATAGCTATTCATGTATCTATAGATATGCTATTGTTGTTGTTGTTGTCACTTAGTTGTTTGTCTAAGCTCAGCGAAGTGTATGAAAGATATTTGCGCCGATATGCGTCACAGCCAGGCGGGCTGAGCCTCCGCTGCGATATCTGCGGCCTTAAGCACTTGACTACGACTATATTAGAGCACTGCAGAGACTAGGCGATTACTTTGCATTAATAGAGTAATAAGCAAAGCACAACCTTTTGAATCAGCCGAACAATACGTACATTTGTTTTGCATCCTGCCTAATGAGCAGCCAGCTCTCGCAACGCCTCTGTTTCCTGGCAGCGGAAGCAGGCCCGGAGACACGTGCGCTCCGAAATTCATCATAAATATAGAAATAACAAAGGAATCTCCAGAAAATGGGTATGTAAGCAGCGAGGTCATGACTCGCTAAGCACGAGTGATCCAGTTTTCTGGCTCAAGGCGGAGCCTTCTCTCTCATGAATATGACAGAGAATATTTTAATGTGCGCAATTTTATGCTTCCTGTTGCCAAATTGATGTGTGCCCAATAAAAAAAGTTGAAAATTTCGTCGTGACAAAGTTATGAAAAGCTTGAAAATTCTTCACGCTCTCTGTCACAAAAGTTTTTAATCTAATGATGAGTTAGAAGCGCCCACACATTCCGTATGGGAGCTTGGACTGTTGCAGCTACAGCTGCAGCTGGCGATATGCCGCAGAGTGTGGCACGAAGAGTTGCACAAAAGCCAGTTTATTTTTTACGCCCCTACGATTTGATTGCCTGCAAAAACTTGATTCACGAACCCTTTTTTTGCGCACTCCGAGTAGTGCGTAGTTTTTTGTGGCACGCATCTCGCAGGCGGCCAGGCGTGAGTCCTTTTTTTGTTTTTTGAGCTGGTCCTTTTGCCGGCGGGTGCGAAGGCGGGTGCTGCTGCTGCTGCTGCTGCTGCTGCTGTGCATTGAAGGCAAGTTTCACAAATGATTTCACATTTTTGCATAAATAAATGTCAAGTGTGCGACGAGGCACGCTGAGAGTTGTTGACAGCTTTCTAATAAACCCAGTGAAAAAGGGATAATCAGCGCCACAAGAAGGATATGACGCCATAAAGGCCCAAGCTTAAGCAACAAGTAGTGAGTGTATGCGTGGCTGTGTACGTGTGTGTGTGTGTGTGTGTGGGTCTGTTTAGTCTTGTATGAGTGGAGTCCACTTTGGCTTAGCAATAATAATAATAACCTTGGCTGCCATGACGCCTCGTATTTTTCAATGTGGCCTTTCAAGAGCTTGGAAAAACGAGACTTTTCTCATATATGAAAATGACAATTTCCATTGCCACTACAAAGGCACTGGCTGAGCGAGCGAGCGAGGGTCAGAAGAGCGACTCCCACACTCATGCCTGCTATCTCTCTCTCTCCCTCTCTCTCTCCCTCTCTCTCGCAGAGTGTATCGCCTCATGGCTGTGTGTATTCTTTGGTTATTTTAGGATTGCCTGGCAACGGCGTTGGCAATTTTAATAATGTTTACTTAAGGCGCAGCAGCCTAGTGTATGCGTGTGTGTGTGTGTGTGTGTGAGTAAATAAATAAAGCGCCAGTCAGCGGCAGCAGCAGCAGCAGCAGCAGCAGCGACAACGACAGCCATCGAGCGTAGCACAAAGACGCCACTGAGCAAGTGTAGCATACTTATGAGGGCTAGACAAGAGCTTGCAACCTGAAGCTAGGTGCAGCGAGGCATGCCAAATGACAGCTGCCTATATTGTGTATAATAAATGGCAGCAGCTTAACAAGCCGCTGCCATAAAATGCACTCCGGCAATGCAACGCCAAGTGACACTTAACGCAGGACCAAGCAGCTGAAGGCTTCGCTGCTGCAAGGCTTCGCTGCTTCCGCCCCTCGCAGCTGGCCATGACAATGGCTATAAAAACCATAATTTATGGCGCTGCTCCGAAAGTCGCATTCAACATCTCGAATATTATTTATATAAATATCAGTTCTAGGCTGCAGCTGTTGCCTAATGAGCGGATTAAGTGGCCTGCCATGAGCCATGCCGGTATGCAATGGGGCGCTTCCTTGGCCAGTTCCTGTTCCGGTTTCTGGACAATCCTTTTGTTGACCCTGGCCAAGGCAATTTAAAATGCTTACAGCACACACACACACACACACACCTACACACGCACACATTCATCTTGCTTTAAGTTCGGTCGCATTAGCTACACGTAACATGCATTGCTCAATGCTGCCAGATCCTGGCAGGACATTAGTTATACAACAAAGCGTAATGCTTTCTAGATGCCCAAATAAACCGAATAAATGTAAATACGACACATGTTGAGAGTGTAAGCGAAACAAAGGACGAACCATTTTCTTTTTTTGTGTTTTTCGTTTTGTGCCCCAGCATCAATTCAAGCGCATTTGGCACGCATGCTGACAGCAAAGTCCTGACTGCTTTGTTTGCCAAAGGATTTGCTTGCTGAGCAGCGCAAGTGGAAATACAAAAGCTGAAAACGAAAACAACAAAAATATATATGTACATGCATACATATATAAATATATATGGCTGTTCATGCGTTTATATTGGAAAATATTGATTTACCTGCCATCAAAGACAGCTGCGACACGTATGTGGCACAGAGCTTTCTGTGCGCTAGTGCAGCCTGCTGGCACTCACTTGGCCTTTATGCCACCAAATCCAAACACATAAACGCAATAATCAATAGAGATTTGCTGGAGCTTACATTGCCTGCGCTGCCAATGGGAAGGTGCTCCCCACCCCTCACTGAGATTGTCGCTTGCGGCACGTCATGTGGCGCCACAAAGTTATGCTCAACAAGTGCAGTTAAGGCCACATCATTAACATTTCGCCGCACACTCAATGCCAAGGCAACCAAGCCAACTAACTATATGCCCAGTTATCTGAGGTGCTACTTACACGCGTATATATAAAGAGAGAGAGAGAGAGGGAGAGGGAGAGATATGTTTGTAGTTGTGGCTGTAGTGCGTGTGGCAGCAATTACGCAGAATGTTGCAATCTCGGAGCGAAGCGTGACAATCGCAACTCGGCTGCTAGACAACCACAGCTTGAATGGCCAACGTGATCATTAGACTCTGTCAGCTTACTTACCTAGACAGCGAAATTAACAAGAAATCTCAAAGATATTCAGCGTTCATAAGTTATTAAAATCAAGCCGTAGACTTTATCTAAATGGATAAATTAACACTTGGGCGCTTTGGTTGTGAAATCTTTTCGAAAACATTTACTGCGTAGTGCCGGGCCCTATTCGGCGTTGGCTCCTCGGTTTTTGGGCCATCTTTTTACGCTGCGGGCATGGGAAATTATTTTTAGGCATGCTTATAATGCACGAAGCTCCCTTGGCTGCCAGTGTGTATATACGTTGACTTAATAAGTTGACAGCAGACAGCAGCAGTCAGTCAGTGCCACGCTTATGCCCACGCCTACACACACACACACATACACTCAGCACCCACCCAGGACTCCTGCTCTGCTTATTTGCCTAGTGCTACTGTTTGCTCCATTCTGGCTCGAGAGGAATTCGCTCATGTTTCACATGTTGATTTTGCTGCCACACGCAGTTGCTGCCACGTCTCGTATTCTTAACCAATTTGAAAAATTACCCTCGTTGCGTATACGCTGCGCTGCCAGTTGCGCTCCATCTTTAATTAGCATTTAAAACTTTCCGCTAACTGTCAAATGTGGCTCGTATCTTCCGACTGGCCACATTGGCATTGGCATTGTCACTGGCGTTGGCTGGCGAACAGATTTCATTGTTGAACGCAATAAAACAGCTCATAAAATCTACTAACTAATGCGCACCACTGACAGCACTCACATCCGCCCGCCCCACTGCGAGCAGACCGCACGGAGCGGACGGCCTGTTGCGTTCGCCTGGCAGGAGGCCATTTGCTTGTGCAAAATGTTACTTTGCGTAAAATTATGCAAATTTGATGTGCGTTTGCCGAGCATGATTCACACACTGTCTTGTTGCCACACATGACTGTGTGTATCTCTGTATGTGTGTGTGTGTGTGGCTATGGTGGCTGCACCACATGCCAAGCACTATGCAAACGGGCCATTCGCCCCCTTCCGCTCGTTGCAAGCTTCCGCACAGCAAGCAAAGTGCAAAGCAAACACAACATTTAAAAACTAGTGAAAGCAAACGAAATGCATCAGATGTTGATAAACAAACTGAATTTTCATGTTGTCTTTAAATTTATGCTCGCCTAATACAAGAAATATTATTCCAAATTTTTAAAGGGAGTTCGATTTGCAGCTCTTTGCTGAATTTGCTCGTTTCTCCGATTATTTTCGAGACCCTTTTGAAATAATTCAAATATTTGTGGCTTATCTGGGCGCAACTTTATTATTTTCTTTGTATGCATTGTTAAGAAAGAAATAACATTTTTAAGCCTTTCTATTTATAACTTAGTTGTTGCTTTGCGCTTGCTTGAATTTTTTTCTGTTGTTTCGCCAAGTCAGCTGGTAAGCGCATGATTGTGGGCGTGCTTATCTGATCAAAGTGCGGCAGCTAGAAAAACAACGCAACAATTTTGCGCCAAATGAAAGAACAACACGAAATTTGTGCAAACTTTTGGCCGTTGCCGTCGTTTGTTGTGGCTGTTGTGGGCCCAAGGAAGCAGCAGCCAGTTGCCGCACACACACATGCCACAGTCTTGAAAGTGGAAGCCAGACACACACACATATACACACGCTCATGTAGCTAAATAAACTGCTCATTATTATGCAAAGTTTTTCGTCTTGGCGTTATCTGGCCGTGCGGAAGTTGAACGAGAGCTTCAAGTCCGCACCGCCCCGAAAGAGCAACAGCCAGTTGCCACGCCCCTTTGGTTGGCGTCTCCATATGGCATAATTGGCATACTGTGACCAACAGTAAGTGGAATAGTCGACCCTATAAAATGATATACGAGGCGTTGGAATGCGCTTAATATTTCATTTAGCAAGCACACATTGGGGACTTTGATTTCGGCCGTTTTGCGAATAAAAATGACTGCGTATAACATTTATTTTGCACTCGCATAAAATATAAAATTCAATTTCATAAGCACAAAAAGCGAAGCGAACGAAAAAACGATGCTTAAAGCGCTCGAACAGTTTTGCCAGCCCATGAAAAATGAGCGAGCGAGCTTACGAATATATGAAAAATATATGATTTATAGCGGCGGGGGGCGAGGCAGGCAGGCAGGAAGGCAGGCTGACTAGCAACGAAGCAGCGCTTAGTCTGGAAAAGCATAATGCTCGCTTCTCGGGTTATGCCGATTTTTTCTTTTTTCTTTTTTAAGCCAGCGATAAGGCAAGGCCTTGGCAATCAGCATATGCACGCAGTCAAACACAGACACACGCACACACGCACACACTTACACAGAGTTAAGTAAACAGTCAACTGTGTCTGCTCGCAACAAAACGCCGTTAAACATGCCAGCTGAAAACACACCCAGCTAACCGCGAACAGCAACAAGAACAAAATGTTCTCGTAATTGCCTCGTTTCATTTTTAATAACTGTCAATCCTTTGGCTTTTTGGGCGCGCCGCCAGTTGGCAAACTGACAAAACCGCTCGTAAATTGCGTTCAGCATATGAGCAGCAACCACAACAACAACAGCGACAAATAACAATACAAACTTCTCTTCTCTTTTTTCCCCTGAAGCCACGTGTTTGGGTAGAGCCACAAAAACTCGGAGCGAAGTGGCTCGAACTGGTCATAGAACAATATTCACTGGCAGGGATATTTTGTAATATCTGTGCGTCTATTATCGATTTAGTCAATGAGCAGCTGAGGTGGCTTTAAGAGTTAGGCTTGAGTTTACAGCTAAGGTAAACAGTTTAAATTGCATTTTGCTTATTTTTGGCTCTCGGCAGGGGCATTAGAAGCTCCCCCCGATATGGGGAGCTCGCTTGGCGTTTTTAGTTTGTTTTGGTTTCACTCAGTGTTGGTGGGTGAAAAGTTTGTGCATTTCCCGTTTGATAAATGCTCGTCTCAACTTTTCGCCAAACTGTTGCTCGGCTAAGCTCAGTTCGCAGTTTCAGCTTGCGGTGCTATGTAACCAAGCGATATCAGTGAACCTCAGCGCCGTGGTCGAGCCAACACAAGAAAAAGAGAAAGTAAATGGAGGACGGAAAAGCGCACGACGAAGCAGATAGAAAAGAAAACACCAGCAGCACCACCAGAGCACTGCTGAAAAAATTTGTAGAAATTTGCGTAAAACTTTAAGCAAACAAGTCGCCCGGGGCCGCACTGGCCTTGGCCATTCCCTACTCCGCCTATGCGCACTGGCAATTGGGGTGTAACAACTGCACAGTAGCTGGAGGAGCTCTGCTTTGGCGTGGTGCTGTCAAAACTTGGCTGCGCTGCCATCCATCTCCGTCTTTATTATATTATTGTTGTGCATGCTTAACTTTACATTTAGTAAAAAATTTTGCACAATTTATTATTTATATTTTTGTTTTATGCTGCTTAAGTTCTGCTCAGCTCATGATGCATGCATTAATCATTGGCAGCGCAGAGTGCGGGCGTACACCGGATCACAAATGCCAAATTGTGCCCCCGGGCGCCAATTACATTAATCATATCATGAGACCAAAGTCTCAGTCCGCCTCATCTCAAACATTTCATTAGACCTGCAGTCGCAAATCCAATCCCAAAATCCACTTCAACTATGGAAAAGGTCAAAAATTTACAATTTTGCTGCAGAGCCACTGCGGGTAGTTAAAGAGAGAGAGAGAGAGAGAGAGAGAGAGAGAGAGAGAGAGAGAGAGAGAGAGAGAGAGAGAGAGAGAGAGAGTGAGGAGGAGGTATTCTGCATTAGCCAACATAAACCATTATCAGCTGCCTTGGCGAGATTATAGACACAGCTGGAATTGGGCTGGGTGCGTTGAGGTGGACATGGGTCAGGGACGCGTTTAACAAAAATGTAAACAGCCCACCTTTGCCCGTCTGTCTGTGTGTTGGTGTGTGTGTGTATTTGCCGGATATTAGGCTTAGTCCGCGTAACGGTAATGGCAATGCCAACAGCCGGCGGCCAAGCAAATCCAGCTGAGGCGTCCAAACACGAAATGAAAATTGTAAAATTTGTTACATTTTGTTTGCATCCGGGCGGATTTTGTTTTGCATTTATATGGAAATTATGTTATTATGCTAAGCACAAGAAAATCTGTAGCACTGAAAAGGGACATGTCTTAATAATTTAAGGCCACAATTTGTTGCCAAAGGGCCTCGATTGCAGCTGCATATATATGCAAATGCAGCTAGCAAATGCTTCACTCACATTTTTTTTTCAAGCGAACATTTTAATTGAAAACTGCGGAGGCGCTGCAGGTAAATAGTAGAAAGTGAGAGCTGCGAACGACAAGTGAAAAACTGATTGCATGACTGACTTATGTGTGTGTAGGGAGTGTATGTAGGGGTGTGCCTGGGTGTGTGTGCGTACTTTTCATTTGAAGCTGTTTGATTTTTGCATAAGCCTGCGCAGAGCTACCCATTTGCATGAATAATAAACTGCAAAAGGCAGAATTTTTTGTTGGGCCTGACCACGCCCACCACGAGTGGGCATGCCGAACGAAATTAAATTAATTAAATTCCACTCGCTTACTGCGTGTGTTCCCTCAGCACGCTCGCCTGTGTGCGTGTGTGTGCGTGTGTGAGTGACTGTGTTCGACAGCCAAACAATTTGTGTAAGTTCTCGCAAAAACGAGGCGAAACGATGAAAAAATCAAGTGAAATGCTGCACAAAAGCGAAAATTTATATATTCACAAAATAAATATGTGAGCGACAAATATGTGAGTTATTTAAAAATTTAAAATAAATGTTTGTGTCTGCGGCCAAAGTCGAAAAAGCGCTGCCCATGGCCAATGGAATTTTTTAGCCATGGCAGCCAGACTGGTGCAATAAAACAGAGCCAAGCGTCTCGTTTGGTTTATTAAAAATTTGTGCAAATGAAGTGTCAATTTGCAATTGCGCAAGGAGTTCCCTAAAGTGAGAGATTTGGATGTACATACATATATGAATAGAATATATATATACACATGTGTAGCTTTAAGCTGAAGAAGCGCTGTGGGACAGCACAATTGGCTTGATGCTTGGAGGAAATTAATTAATTTTTGCTGTTGCTTAATATATAAAGCTAAAATACGACAAAGCAGCAGAGGAGGCACACGCACACACACGCACACACATACACTCCCATACATATACTACACGCCACACGCACGTTTTGCTGTGGCCTAATCCAACAGGAGCTCAGGGATGTGCCCCAAGCGTGTACAACATTTTAAACACTTTGACTCGGCAGACATTAATGAATGTATATACTACACATGTATAAAAATATATATGTATATATGTGCGAAATAAACTTCTGCATATAAATAGACAGATAAGGCACAAAGAGGGACAGACTGAGTGAGAGAGTGAGTGAGAGTGAGAGAGTGAGGGACAGTAGTTTAAAATGCCATTAAATGCTGGGAGATGGGCAGCCTGTCAGGCTAGTGACATATCTTATGGCAGGCACTGCTTGCTCTCCCTCTCACTCTCTCTCTCTCTCTTTCACTGTGCATGGGGCGAGCTGTCATCATGTATAACTGTTGCTGTCAGGCTTACGGCTTGTCATATTATGTATTATGGCGTATTTTATTTGCATTCAATTAAATCGCACGTGTCACTCGCTGCCGCATATAAATTGCCAACAAAATGAGCCAGAAATTTATGCAAATCGTTCCCAAAAAAACAGCTAAGTTAATTTAATAAATATATATTTTATAAAAATATACATATATAGAGTTGTTTATGCCGCGCCATGTCAAAGCGCAACAGCCACAAATGAATTGCTTTCGAAATATGTGTCCCCCGCAATATAACTTTACGCTGTGGGCACAGCACAGCGGGCACTCAAATTAAATTAGCTCATAACCATTAATAATTATATTTTGTAATGTCGCTGACCTGAATGTGAGTGAGCACAAAACGCTTATTACGGATTGATAAGCATCTAAATTAAAATGGCATCCATAAAAACACTTTGGCCCCAGACTTTTCGGCCCGGACAGGTGCAGACGCGCACCAAATCGCTGGGGGATTAGCTGGCCAAGAGTAATGACAGTTTCAGTGCCACTACCGCCCACCTCTCACGCCCACACTAAATGTTACTCTGGGGGACCCACGGGCTTGGGACGTTGGCCGTTGATGTTGTCCGCTGCCAGGCCTCATAGACCCCGTCGCTGATTGTCATCGAAGTGCGAGGCTAGTCACGTACAGAAAGTCTTAATCGAAGACCGCACAGCTGTTGGACACAACTTAAAGCCCATTAATTTGGGGCAAAGGCAACATTTTTGAAGTGCCATCGACGAGTTGAGTTAAGCTGCTGCCGCCTGTCGACTGAGGACTAAGGACTAAGGATTGTGGACTGTCGACTGGCGCTGTTGCCTGTTGCCTGTTGCCTGCCAAATTACTAACTTAATTATAAATTAATTATCTAACAAAGCATAGAATGCCAGACGAGGCGGTGCCAAACATCAAAGTATCAATAATTAATCGCCTCGGTAATGTTTTCAATTTCTTGCTTCATTAGCTGGTTTTATTCGGCCCTTGAAGGCGTTTGGGCCAGCAGCTTGGGGCTTTTGTTCTGCTAATCCCTGCGCGTAGGTGCCCAATGGGGAACAGCAGCAGAAGCAGCAGCAGCAGCCACTCTAAGCCTGTCTAATACATACGCCTTGCGAATTTGGTCAGAAAATCGATAGCCAATGCGAAATATTTCATGTCGATCGCGAAACAGTCAAACTGTCGAACCGTCCAACCGTCGAGCCGTCGAAATGAGTTATGTCAGTTGAAATGGAATTGAATGCGCGTAGTTAGAACATTAAATAGATTTATGTGTGAGCCAAGGCGAGCGCATGCGACACAGGCGGAAATAAAAACTGAAACCGGACGTGCGCCCGATGACGACCACGCCGGAAATTAAACTATTTGTTGGCGGCACTGGCTCACAGGCACTCTTTATTATGTTCTCAACAATTGCTGACAAGACCGAAATAAATCATAACACGAAAAAAAAGAAACACAAACAGAGAGCGAAGCATAGAAATGGTCAATACAATTGTGGCTAGCTGAGTCTTACCTGCTCTGAGTCCACTTTCGATCTGGCTTATAGTGAGTCTACCAACATGTTATCTCTTGTATCAATTTGTGTACATATACTATATATGCTCTATGTTATACTCTGTGCACTTGAGGGTTTGTACGCGCGGCTCTTTGATAGCAATTTTAGAATGGAGTATAATTTTCAACACTTCTGGCTTGGCACTTGAAAGTTGCTGTTCGTATTGGGTGTGCGTTGTTATTAGTAGCTGGGTTTTTGTTTGGTCAAAGGCCCACACGCACATACACGCACACGCACACGCATACACGCACACACACACGCATGTATAGAGCGTTCGCAGTCGCACGCACACTTCGACGCTAGCTCACCGTCTCTCACACACACAGGCACGCCACACACCTTGACGCTAGAGTATTAGAAAGCATTGCAGAACGCGGCGCCTTCAAACGCTGCTTGGCTTGACAGACTGCTTCAGAGTGCTGAGGCAGCTTCCGCGTTTTGTGTGCTGTTCACGAAACGGCTCAACTCGAACTGTGACGACGCTCAGCTGCTGCGGCCACAGCCAGTCTAGTGCTTTGCTGACGGCTTCGCTTCGGCCTCTCTTAGTGGCGTGCGCTCTCCCACGCACCTTCGTGCCATTGGAAAGTTGCCCCGTGTTTGCATGTGTGTGTGTGTGTATGTGTGTCGTTCGGCTCGTCTCGTCTCGTCTCAGTCTCGGCGTAAGACCAGCTGGCGCAGCATTAACAAGTAAGAAAGCTCTAGTCGAGACTGCTCGACTACGAGATCCCCTGAACCCTTGGAGTGCTAGCTATTTCAATAATTTTTCGCGTCTTTCAGCTTACACAAGAAACACACACACATACACAAACACATACACACACAAGCACCCACGCATAAACACGCATGGGCTGCAGTGTGCGCTTACTATGAGAACTTAATTGTTTAATAACTTTTTTTGTGGACGTACGATCTTCATGAAACTTTCAGATTATGATTATAACATGAATATGCATGTAATTGCCAAAGCACAAGTCTCTAGTATTTGAAATACGCGTTTTACAAAAGTGAGGGTGAGGGGGTGAATTTAGAGGTGGGGGGTAAATTTTAACAAAAACCGAAATTGTNCAATAAAGAAATATAAATTAATATTTAATATTAATTTCAAATGTAATTTATATTTAATATGCAATTTTAATCTATATATTTCTATTTTCTATATATTGTAATTCGATTCAATAACAAGAAAACTTTATTAAAATTATATCTAACTTAAGAATCGAAAAAAATTCATTTCTTACTTAAAAAAGTTAGTCGAAAAACGATTCAAGTATTCCATTCCAATTTACTCAAACTTTTGAAAAGCTGTAATTACATTTTAATTTCTCTAACTAGCCAATTTCAATGGCTGGGCAATGCGTTTGACAACTTCCACTTGGCTTTGTGTTCATTCCGTACACAAACTAAGGGACACAGTGGGACCAAAACACACACACACACACACACACAAGCTCAGAAAAAAGCGCAACAGGACCAAAATAATTGCGCGTTAAACATGTGCCAAGCGCTACCAACAGCAACAGACGGTTCGTGAGCGAAAGAGCAAAAGAGACGGTAGGAGTGAGAGCGAACGAGAGCGAGAGAGACTGAGACGAGGGCCGAGCAGAGCCGAAGCCCGGAGAGCGCGACTGGAAATGTTCAACTGGTTGCGTTTTTGCAAGCAACAGGATATGCTGGAAGCCTGCAAAAACATCGACAAGCACAAGAAACATCGCACACAAGGCAAACACAATGGCAACAACAACAGCGACGAAATGGAGGGGAAAGCCAGTTGACTGGCTGACTGGTTGGTTGGTTGGCTGGTTGGCTCGGTCGGCTGGGCCGCAGCGGGTGGACGGGCCGGCGGGAAGGCTCGTAGGCTGGCAGTTGGGCCTACAAACAGTCGCGTGCTTAAAGCCTCAATACCAAAACAATTTGAGAGCGCACAATAAAATTGAATGGGCGCAAAGAAAGGACGAAAGCAGCAACAAAAACAAAAAGAAAGAAAATAAAGGAAAAAGTGAGGAGGCAGCAGAAAAATGTGCCAGTGTATAAAAAAACGAAGAAGAAAGAAAAGAAATGTTGCGTGTGAAAGGAGCAGCGCCTGTTGAAGGACGAGCGGCCATTAGAAAGCTGCAAAAGCGAATTCACATAGCGTTCGCAATGTTTACAGGTAGCCAGCGAGGGTGTGTTTGTCTCTGCTCCCGTTTGAAGGACATGGCAAAAGGTACGCAACGTGTGTCGATTAAGATGCTGAGCCATTGTTGTTGTTGTTGTTGTTGTTGGGATTGCCTTTGGGTCGTGATAGACAGCGAGACGCCTGAGCCGGATCCAGAGCCGGAGCCGGACCCGCACCCTCGCCCGTACTCGGCGACCCAGTGAAGACCCAAAGCTTTGTAGCGCTGGCTGTCAGCTTATCAATTTGTATGCCTGTAGATATTTATTTATGAATATCCTTTGGATGCCTCAGCTACGGCAGTGCTCGCGCCTTTATGCCCGCCACTCGCACCAAATGCCGCGTAATCCAGGCGCATACCTGAGGGTCGCTGCGTCCATTCAACCATATTCCGAGACGCCACTTCTCCACATTCGCCATTTCCGCCATTCTCGTACATTCGGCGCATTTATGTATCTCCTTTGCTCGCTTCTTTGGTCATGTCTGGGCCTGTCTGCCATTTTGGCGAGGCCTTTCTTAATTTCATTTTTATTGCAGATTGATTTTTTCAGATTAAGTTTGTGCCGCTCACTGTTTGTGGCGAACGATAGCCCCTGCCCCAATGACAGCCAGAGGTTTGTTGTTAACAAAAACCGTTGCCTACTTTTCAGGGCCAGGCCTAATGAAATATTAGTCCACTTGAGTTGAGCGTTGTTTCAAGCCAACTTCTGCTTCAATTAGCAATGCAAGCAGTTCCAGCAAAAACCATAACCAACATGCAAACAGTAAGCCAGCTGCTGCCACGCCCACCAGATCCCCTCACGGCGAACAAACCAAAAACTCAAAGTAAAAGTAAAACATTTTCATGCAAATGTTTTTGTTTAACCACGAAATATTTTTAGTATTCAACACACACACGCCACCCGTTTTCTCGCTCTCTACCTCTGCCTCTCTCGCTCTGCCTTTCCCCTGTCTTTCTCTTGCCCACATACAGAGGCACGCGTGAGAGTCCTGTGGCAAAAGTTTTTACTACTCGCAGCTTAGAACAAACAAAATCAAACCGAGCGCAACAAAGTACACAAATATTTACCTATGTGTATGTATGCACATACATATACAAGCAACTGTGTGTGTATGTGTGTGTGTGCTTGTTTGTGTGAATATCTGGTCAGTTTGAAAAGTCATAAAGGCAACGAGCAAATCGGTCATTTCAGCGCAATGCGACACTTTCAATAGTCACGCCCCAAAGTATGCAGCAATAAATTGAGAATTTGCAATCGATCTGCCTGCAACTGATTTGCGCACAAATAGAGGGATTGAGCATCGTGTATTCAATTGCTACCACAAATATATTATCTAAAATATTTACTTTTTTATTGATTTAAGTTAATGGAGAATATGATTGCAATAAATCGTGATATGTTGACAAATTGTGGTTCGCAATTCCGTATTGACAAAACTCCAGAGGCGCTTAAATCTAATGGATGCCATAAATATCTGCTCAACTGCTTATTGACTTAGTGGGAAGCTGAGCGAGTGAGGCACTCGCCCTATTTATGATGGGCCAGCGTTTATTTCAATTGCACTTCATCCCTTTGCCAGTGTCTCCACTTTTTCTATGCGCAACCTTCTCCATTTCCAAGGCTTCAGTTGGCACGCTTATTTACCCAGCAAATACATCTCTCTCAGTCCCTCTCTCTCTTTCTCTCTCGATATATATGTTTTTTCCTCAGAGAAATTGATCTAAATTTCGATTGCATTGGCATTCGGTATTCATTGCTAATTGCCTGTCATCAAATTGGATTAAAATTCTATTAAACTGTCAGCCAAGGCAAATGCAATTGAAGCCGTCGTCGAGTGCAGCGCATAAAATGGTCAAAAAGGCTGCCAATTGCCAGAGCCATTTGCCTGGGCCAGCTGAAGGATTAAGCTGATTTCGCATTTGCCATGACATTCAATTAATGCAGACTCAACCAAAAGAGCAGCTGTTCAGGGGTTGCCCATAGCCTCGTTGGCCCTCCTTGTTAGCAGACCAACAATTACATTAAATATATGCCAAAACAGAAGATGTGCTAATGAAGCTAAAGGCGGCTATTATTCCCAAAAAGGAAAAATTAAGGGACAAGTATACAGCGGGAAAAAACAGGGGAAACTCTACCAAATATTTTATATAGTATACTAGATGCATTGCTAAACTTGTTGCAGCTAGTCAATGCTTTGGCAGATAACACGAAATGGAAATCAATTTGATAAATGGAATAAATTTGTTTAAGCTGGATTCAGCTTGAGAAATTGCTAATTCAGTTAAGTGCCAATTAAATCCTTTTGATGCAAGCTCCAGTCAGAAATATGCTAAAATGCTTTGTTAACTAAACGGCGTAATACCCACCCTCACACCTCAGACCTCACACCTGCCACTTCCATCCGCCTGCCAGCCCGTTCGCCTAGGTGTTGTTTGTAATAGACAAAGCAGCAACAAACAGCGCTTCATTACAATTTTAATTTGGCATTTTAGCTGCCGCCAGGCAGACAGAGCTTAATTAGTACAATTTGGCAGACAGGACAAGTGTCCTTAGCCTAAGCCTTGGACCGAGACCTCGCTTAAGACTGGCGACAACTCGAGTCGCTCGCAAATTATTCAATGCAAATAGTTTGGCAACGGCTGAGCAACACAGCCAAAATCGCGCTCTGTTTGTGGCAGCTTCTGTTTCCCTTTTTTTGTTGCTTTACTTTTTGTGTGTTTACAGCAAAGTTAATTGAATTTTCACGCCAAAAAGCGGCAGGCCTGTGGCTATTGAGCCAGATCGTTCGATGGGGATTTGGGCGAGCTGGGAGGCTGGAAAGCTGAGAAGCTGAGATGCTAGCTTCTAATGCTTTATTTGACATCATAATTAAGTCAAAGTAATTCGCATGGAAATTGCTGTCAAGTGGCTCATAATTTATTAGGCTATGTGGCAGTTTGCATCTTTGTGGGCTGCCAAAGGTAAATTCATATACCTAACAGGGGTGCTATGTGCCTAAGAATGTCATTGAAGAATCGATTTGACATTAGACGTTTACTAAGACAGTGGCAAAAGTGGAAAACTCGCAAGGTGGCAACTCTAAACGTTTCTATTATGGATATTCCTGACAAGTCCGAGGGCGATCGCAAGCTCTATCGTGCCGTCAATCTATCGAATGGCGTGCGCGCCATGCTCATTTCGGATCCCGGTCCGGGCGAAATGAGTGCTTCTGCTTCGCAGGCGACCATGGCCCACTCGGGAGCCTCGAGAGCTGGCAGCTCCGACTCATCGCTGGAGCAGTACCAGGGCAAACTGGCTGCCTGTGCGGTGCTGATGAGTGCTGGCTCGTTCTACGAGCCACGCCAGTACCAGGGATTGGCGCATTTCTTGGAGCACATGATATTCATGGGGTCGCAGAAGTATCCGATCGAAAATGCCTTTGATTCGTTTGTGACGAAGAGTGGGGGCTTCACCAATGCCCACACTGAGAATGAGGATACGTGCTATTACTTTGAGGTTGAGGATCAGCATCTGGACAAGACTCTGGACATGTTTATGCATCTGATGAAGGAGCCCCTCATGTCCATCGATTCCATGGCACGCGAGCGGTCCGCGCTCCAGTCGGAGTTCGAGCAGACCCACATGATTGACGAGGTGCGGCGCGATCAGATTCTGGCGGCCATGGCCACCGACGGCTATCCGCATGGCACCTTCAGCTGGGGCAACCTCAAGTCGCTGCAGGAGAACGTCGACGATGACCATTTGCATCGGACACTTCATGAATTTCGACGCAAGCATTACGGCGCCAATCGTATGACCGTGTGCCTGCAGGCACAGATGTCACTGGAGGATCTGGAGGCACTCCTTGTGCGGCACTGTGCTGGCATACCACAGAGCGAAGAGCCGCCACTGAATCTCTCCAAATTCAATTACAGGAATGCCTTCCGGGAGAAGTTTTTCAAGGAAGTGCTGCTAGTGCAGCCTGTGGAGGATGTTTGCAAGGTGGACATCACCTGGGTGCTGCCCCCCATGCGACAATACTACAGATGCAAGCCGGACTCGTTCCTCTCCCAGCTGCTGGGCTACGAAGGTGTCGGCAGTCTGTGCGCCTATCTGC